TGTTATCTGGACTGTATCACAGGATGTACAGTATCAATCTTCATTCTCCTAATGTGCAGTTCAAACACTGAACTTTCCGGGGTTTTCTTGTAACTACACCAACCCTAAAATCTCACCTCAGATCAAACCTCTGTTTCAGAGATTATTGCTTACATTTAAACCCTCCCCAAAGTCAAGAGTGTTGATTTCTGAATTAGTAAAGAGCCAACAAAACTGGAAGCAAAGATGCAGGAATTAACATATGCACATACTAGGAACTACTTTTCAGGAACCTTCTGCAATATAAAAAGGCCAGATTTGTTATCATCCCAAATCAAACTGCTTTGTGGAAAAAAGATGTACCAGGAAAAGGACTCTTGGCTCCTTAATCTAAGGTAAATTACTGTTAGTCCACTAAACACAGGCATGTAATGAAAATATTGATGATTTGAGCCACTCCCGCAGCCCAGTGGCTGTGCTCTGTGATCCCAGGGAGTAGTTAGGATCCTAGAATGAAGCAAACACATTGCAAACTTTCTTTGGGGGTGGAGGAAGATGACCCCCTCACTTCCCTGTGGCCAGTGTTCACAGTGGTTTCAAGAGGCAGTACACCTCCATCTCTCCATGACTAGAAGAAAGGTCACTCCTGCAGGAAGAAGGAGCATTGAACCCCCACGCCTCCAAAAGGTCATCAGTAGTTCACTCCTACCTTCAGTATAATTTCTAACACCTGACGGCTTGCAGCTATTGGTGAGAACTGCAGACAAAGAAGCTTTACTCTCCTCTATTGTCCATTGACTTCTTGTGATAGAATATTACACACCAGTGTAGGTAACAATTGGAGCTATTGACCAGCATGCCTATGTTTAATTTTTATAGTTTCTACATAGGGTGACCAGCTGTCCCCATTTTATAGGGATAGTCCCGATATTTGGGGCTTTTTCTTATATAGGTGCCAATTACCCCCCACCCCGTCCCGATTTTTCACACTTACTATCTGGTCACCCTATTTCTACAGTCTTTAAAGCCAACTGGCACAAGCCATGCATTTAACAAAATCAGTATTTAGTTTTTTGTGGGGAGCTGAGGTTAAAGAAAATCCCGAGTTCTTCCTGGAAAAACATGCAATATACTTAATGGTTTGCTATACAAAGAATATGCTTAATTTAATATTCTCGGATCAAAATTATTCCTAAATCTCTGTATCAAATCTCATATTGGGCCTCTTGTGCTTAGTCCAGTAAACACAGGAAACACAAATAAAAGTTCAGAACATAAAAAAACAAACACACCTATCTATAGCTCTGACAGTAGTGTTTACCCCTGTTTTATGATGCTGGTTTGCTAAGACTGGTAGCTTATAAAATGCTACTAGGGAGGTTTAACTGCACAAAGGGCAGCTAAATTCCACAGATCACAGAAACCAGGCTGTAAGAACTGGAGAGAAAGGGTAATTGTGGCTTAAGAAAACACAATGAGCCAAGTGGACTCACACAGATCAGCTACCTGAAGAGAAAAAACAAAAAAAGGCACCACAGGTACAGCAGAGAATGGGGGGGAAAGGGGGAAATATGTATATGTGCAATGCTCTAACTCACCACTGTTATTTTCTAGTCCTGTAAAAATATTCTTATCCTAAAGCAACAAAAACATGCTAGATGACCAGTGAAACCAGTTTCTATGGCCTTAAGTACAAGTGACACATGCACTGTAGGAGGACTTACTCAAACACTCAAGATAATGAAAAGAATGTCCCCTTTGTGTGGAATCCTAATAATGAAATCTTATCCATGTGGTTTTCTATAGAAAAAAGAAGTGTTCCTCCACTGAACCAATCCAGACATCGTCTACACTAATCAAAAATCCACAGCCTGGAGACTGTTAGTTATTATTTGTATTACTGTAGCACCTAGAGGCTCCAAACAAGATCTAGTGCCTTCATTTTTTCATATTTGTCAATCAGTGGCTGACTTGTCACACAGACTTCTTAGCAGGAAAGCAGTTTGGTTTGTTCACACAATGGGTTGTTGCAACTGGTGTTCAGCAAGTGGAGTTTCTGTGGAATCCCTCATTTACATTTTCTTATGTTGGTGGAAACTGGCATAAATTGATTCTCACAATTACTATGTGAGAAGCACAACTTCTCTCATCCACTTTCCTCTTTTGTGGAAAGAGAAGAGCAGCACCAGGCGCTCTTACTCTCATCATCGGGACACTGAAATGCACAAATGTGACTTGGCATGCAGAGTAACAACAAGATCTACCATGCCACTGAATACACCCTCAGACAGATCCACAGCTAGTTTGCTATTACGTTCTCGCCACTTAGCCTGGTTTGGGTGGAAGTTCTGGGACTCCTGGTGCCTCACTACTGTCCTCAATGCATGGCTCACTTTCTGATGCTAAACAGACCAGCTCTCTGTGAAAGCCCTCATCTTCCTTTGGGAAAGAGGCCTTTGTAGATGCCTGAAACTCCCCATTAATTTCAAGGGTGCAGAGCACATGGAACTCATCTCAGGATCAGGCCCATATCGATCTATAGTACTGATATGCCCCCCCCCCCATTACCACAGTATCCAAGTACATCACAATTTTTTATTGTGTACGTCCTCAATACCCCATGAGGTACAGCCTTCTTGCTATCCCATTTTACAGATGGAGAATGGAGGCAGAGAGAGACTAAGTGACTTGCCAAAAAAAGTCTCACAGGAAGTCTCTGGTAGAAGAGGGAATAGAATGCAGATCTTCCCAATTTACAGCCTAGCATCTTATTCACTGAGCCATCCTTCCTCAACTAGGCCTTGTCTAAACTGGGGAAATCTATCCAGAAATATTAACTGGTTTTAAAAAGGAGTTGGAGCACTAGCGCAGACAAGGCAAAAAACAGACAGGCCAGTTTTTAAAACCAGTTTAGCTAAACCACCTTTCAGCAGCTGTACTCGGAGTCTCTGGACCTATTTGCACTTCAGTGCCAGTAACACCCATTAACATAATTGTGCAGTAAGTGTGGAAATTATACAGCAGTGTTACGTAATACAGTAATACAAGTGTGCTATGTGGAAAAATGAAAACTTACAAGTCAGTCAGAAAGAGAAACAAAAAGGTTTGAGGAGAAGAGGGGAGGGGGGCAGAGAAACTTGGATTCCTACACAGAGGACTCAGAATGCTGGGTAGCAGGCACTAAGAAATAGAGTAGAATCTATGTTTGTTTCGAGTCTAACATAATAGCCCTATTAGTTTTAGGTTATGAAATCTGGTGTACACTAACCATCAGATCCTTTTAGAAGCACAGGAAAAAGTGTACAGCACCAAAATGAACCAGAAAGTCAGTTAGGCAGGGCTAAGCCCCAGCATCAGTCATTAATAAAGCAGTTTGTTTGTATGACCAAAAAGGGAAATTATATATTAAATTGGAACTTGTGATCTATTTACATATAGTAAATTTACCCAAAATCTTATTTCTGTGAATAGAAATTTTAATAGAATACAAAGTGATCAGAACACAAACTGACACTTTTCTGTTATTTGGTTAAATTGCTTTTCCATTTTCCCCTTCATCTTTACAGAAAGAACCTGTGGTGAAAGTTCCTTAATCATAAGTGACGTTGGCCAAACAACTTTAAGAAAATAGAAGACTCTTAATAATATGTATTTCATAGTAGATGACACCAAATTTTAAAAGTGTGTGTGTAAACGGAGTGGATTTAGGAACAGTAGTTAAATAAGAGAGCTATTTTAAAATTGGAAAGTCTAATAAATGAATCTGATAGTTCACATTTGCCAGTTAGTTGAAAACTCTTATCTGACATTTACTCTTAGTTCACTCACAGAATCAAATTATTAACAAATTCTATTAAGCAATATAGCATGTGTCCTTGTAACTACATGTAATAGTAGCTGTAAAAATAAAAGAGTAACCTGTAGTAAAAGTCTAACATCCCACCAATAGACGTGAATACAGGCATTTACACTAATGCAGAAATCCCCTAAGCATCCCTGGGAAATTAAAATCTTACACAGGGACTGAAAATATTCTAAAACCCCAATATTTTGTGGTATGACAACCAGAAAATTAACCAGCCACCCACTTGGAATTTATTAACAGGAGCCATCATGCTCCTCTTTTGAATCCCACCAAATTCTTTAAAAAGTCTGATTTGGATTGTTTTATCATGAAAACAGGAGAGCTCAAGGAGGGATGTGCAAATAGAAATGTACGCAAGTCACAGAGCATGACTATGTCTCATCCGCACTCACACACACAAAACCACAGTTCAAACTCGAGTTTCTCAGAAGTTTGCAACATACTATGGTAAAAGCCATAGCACCAGTACCATGCATATGAAAAAGGGAAGCAGCGAGACTTCAGATCAAGATCCAGAAAACCAGGTTTGGGGTCAAGGGATACTGAATAGGTAGGGGGTGGAAGTCATGCATGCAGTCTGCCAAGAAGACTGTTAATGTACACTGCTCCTCTCTCTTCCCCAAAAGAATGGTACATGGATGCCTGGGTATCAGTTCCATTCTGCCAGGCTACTTCCAGCCCAGGGGAAACTGACACCATGGACAGTTTAAGATTTCTTACTTCTTGTATGCAATGTAGAGGAAACAATAAACAACATTAAAGAAAACCTTTTTACACCAGTCATAGTAAAGGTCAACTTAATGCAGCCTGGCTACCAAACTTCTTTTTTGCCCCTGCCCACAATGAAACCTCAAGTCAATAGCATGCTTTCACATCACCACCATGCCAGGCATTGCTTCCATGACAATCCTAGATCCAGGCTGTTAAAAATTTATGACTCAATTTCCAAGCAGCAGTCACCCTGCTCTTAAGCAATACTATATCATAATTGCATGTTAATTTGATAACCAGAGATGCGGCTGAAGGCCCACAATGTCAAATGTACTTTGGAGAGGGGGGGGAAAGACAGACTGTCAAGTTCTAGCGAGACAGAGGAGGTTTATTCTCTCCCCCCCCCCCCCCCCCCCCTTATAGCTCGCCAGGATTTGTTCCTTACCTGCAGAGCTCTGCAAAGGCCTGAAAATTCAGCTTCTTGATCTTCTTTTCACTCAGCCAATAACCAACTCTTTTCCCTTTCAGAAAGGTCTGCATCTTCCCTTACCCTCCAGCGGAGTGGGGGTGGGGGTTATTTTTAAAGGAGGAAAGAGAAATGCCTTGTACACAAGATGCAGCAGCTTGGTACTCGGTGCCTCCTCCCCCCAAAAAGAAGTCTCTAGAGGGAAGTCATTCAGTCCTTGGGGGTGCAAGGAACTCGGAGATAGGCAAAACGGGAAAATCCAGGGGAGGGGCTTTAATATTTCATATGCACTTGAGTTTTAAAGCAGAGACTTACAACAACAACAAAATCAGATGCTGTCTCGGAAGCCGCTAGCAATATTGCCCAGACAGACCCGTGCTTGGCTGGCTCGGGCAGGGTCCAGGCTCTCTGAGCAGCAGTAACTTGCAGGCCCTCCCAGGAAAGGGAAAGCGGAGAGGCTGGGAGGGAAGGTGCCTCTGGTGGAGGGGAAGCTTCTACCTTCTGAAATCCTCCTCCGTGCGCCAATGGAGCAGCCCGCAGAGCAGGCACAACGCCGCGGCTCTCCGAGCAGCACCCCCCGGCAGCAGCGGAGCCCCGAGCAAGCCTCTGCCCCAGGCTGCCGAGGCGAGCCCCAGTGGCCGTCGGGCTGCACGCCTGGGGATCCGGAGACCAGCTCGCTTCCTTCCCCCGCTGCTGCTGCTGCCGCCTCTCACGTCTCCATTTGCCCGCTATTCCGAGCCGCCTCCACTTCCTCCTGCCGCTGCTGGTTCCTCCTCCCTCCACCCCCAGAGCAGGAGGGTGGGCGAGCAAGGACACACCCTCCCGGGGGCTGCGCCTCCTGCCCGAAGGACAGCTTGCAAGCAGCAGCCCGGGCCGGCCGGCACCCGGCTGCCCTACCTAGTCCCCGCGTCTCTGCCGCGCAGCAGCAACCTGCCCAGACTGACCCTGGCCAGGAGGCGGGCAAGGAAAAACTGCTGCGGCTGGACCTGCAGGGGGCAGCACTGGGCTGCAGCTCCTTAAAGACACAGCACACACACACACACACCCTCCCCTTCCCCCGCTTTTAGGGCTGGTCGTGCCAGACTAGTGTTCTCTCCTGGGGCCTGGTGGAGAATGGGGTTTGAAAAGTGTGGTTTCCCAGTGTTAAACGAGGAGTCATTTGTAAAAGGGGAGGATGTGAAGCCCCGGGGAGGGGAGAGAAGAGGACTGGGGGGTAGGGAGTCCCCCTGCACACACACACCCCGAAAAACTGCCTTTCCTACCTTCCATTCAATGCAACTGCGGGCACCTGAAAGGCAAAATCCTGCTCTTCTTCAGAAATATAGATCAGAGTTATTCAATCTTTATGAGCCAGGGATACAAGCTACCCCAGCAAAGACCACTGAGCAGTAGGGCTGAGAGGGATGATCCCCCGGCCACTCACCAATACCTGACTTTGATTGAAAATGAAAAACCTGAGATGTTCCCTTCAGCTGATCCCCTGCCTCATCTTCCTGCCCCTGCTCCCAAGATTTGCCATTTGAAAGAAGAAGAAAACATGGACATCACATATATTTCCTTTTAAGCCAGGAAGATAATATTCCCTGTACTTAAAGTGATTTCAGACAAGACTGGAGATTAAGAGCATCGCAGTCTCCCCCTTTTATTCTATTCAATGTTGTATTTCCAGTTACACCCTCCCTGGATGCAGCACCATCTGAGATTTTCATAGATTACTGGGCCAAAATGGTTGTCTAGTCTGACCTCCTGTGTAACACAGTCATAGGAAGTCCCTGATTAATTTTGGGGGTGTTTTGGGGGGCCTGAGAACAGACTGAAGTTAGACAAATATAGGAACAAGCCTCAGTAGAGGCAGGGAAAGCCCTCCTATCACATCTTCAGTTTAAATGCTGTCCCTTGTACCAATTTTCTAAATGCAGTAGTAGCTAAGGCCCCAATGCTTCAATGGAGCTCTGTGTGGGTTCATGCCTGCCCAGACCCCACCCCCCATCACCACCACCACTGAAATCAATAGTGGGTGCAGGGATCGTTCAGTGTGCATGTCATTGCAAGTATGGTGTATGTAACATGAAGGGTATGTCTACAGCGCAATTAAAAACCTGCAACTGGCCTGAGCCCTCTGATTCAGGCTAAGGGTCTTCTTCATTGCGGTGTAGACATTTGAACTTGGGCTGCAGCCTGAGCTTTGGGACCCTCCCACTTCACAGGGTCCTAAAGCCCCTAGGAAGAGAAGTTGTCAATTGAGCTGGTCAGAAAAACTACCTTTTTTAAAAAAAAAAAAACACAAATTATTTTTGGACTAAACAGGAATTTTTCAGACACAAAAAATAGTTTTAAAAAATGAGTTTTCATTGAAAAAAATCAAAGACCCCAAATTTTTCAGTGGTCAACAAAAACCTGAACAATGTTGAAGAAAATGTTTGACAAAAACTTTTTTTATTTAAATTTGTTGGCAGAGGGAAAAAATGATTTGCCAACCAGTTCTAGTTGTCATTCTTTTTCTATGTTCCGCACCTTTAAATATAGAGACACCTGTCATTTTGTATTTTAATTCAGATGCAGAATATTTCAGACTGAATCACAGTGAGCTCTCACAGAGCAAATACAAAGTTTCCCTCTTTATTTTGTCCCTTAATCTGAAAAAAAAAAACCCCATCATCTAAACCAAAAAACACATGTTTTTCTCATTGAGGATGGAAAACGTGACACTACGGATATTTGCTTAACTAGCTTTTTAAAAAATTGTTTTATTTCTTTCTGTGACAAGTTGGCAGGATCTACAACCCTTTTCTGGTGACATGCTCTGTAAAACCAGATTAAGAGGACTCTGCATATATAAAGTTGTTGAGTAAACTCTGCTGACTCATTGCAGCCATAATGAGTGTGGCTTATTAACTGCACCAGGCTAGAAGAAAGGTAGGTATGAGCCTCTATTCAGAGGGAACAAGAGGTAGAAATAGAAAAGTCTTAAGAAACTGAAACTGTGCCTGGCTTGGGCTGGGTTGTAAGCAAAATACTCCTGGGGGTATTCTGCACCAAAAAATTAAAAATTCTGTGCCAAAAAAAATTATAATTCTGCACAGAATGTTTTAAAATTCTGCAAATGTATTTGTCAAAATAACACTATATAATCATGCCAGTTTCAATTGGTAATTTATTTCAAAATACCTGTCAGCAAGTATGTCTGTAACAATACAGACACACAGAAAATGTCCCTCAGGAGTAGTGTTAAAGAAACCCCTCTGACAACCCAGTTCCTGTTTCTCTGCTCCCTCCCCCCCAGAGTCCAGCTGGGGGGGCAGACACTCACACCACCTACCACCCCCAGAGCCCAGCCACGCCCCCCCAGCCCAGACACTCCCCCCCCCTCCCCCCAGAGCCCAGCCACGCCCCCCCCAGCCCATAAACTCACACCCCCTCCTCCCACGGCCCAGACACTCACACCCCTTACCCCACAGAGACCAAGGATCCAGAGGGAGAAACAGCCTGATTCTGGGTCCCGGGCTTACACCACTGCCTCCTTCCTTCAGGGCATGCTGGGAACTGCAGCTGCTGGGAACCCTCCAGTTCCCTCCCCAGCCTAGTCTTCTATTTGTGAGCTGTGCTCTGCCGGGTCTAGCGGCCCCTCATGGCAGCCAACATCTCTGCAGCCCATTTCTGTGGGGGGAAAAGAAAATTCTGCGCACCCAACATTAATTTCTGCAAAATTCTGCATTGCGCAGTGCACAGAATTCCCCCAGGAGTAGCACAGGCTGTTTTACGATCTGCTGTTGTTAATGCCAATGATAAAGTCAAATTCCAACAAACCGTAAACAAAGGAGATGTTTGACCTTATGCAGGGTGTGGAATATCCAGAGCAGGGTGGAAATACCCTCTGCTTGCACTTTTGAAAAATGTATATTATAATAATATTTCTACCTCAAATACTGCAAAAGGAGAATGAGAGTATATCCCTTTCACTCAGCTACAAGTCAGCAATCTGAAGTGTTCTTCCATTCCCTTAATATTCTACAACTTCTATTTTTTAAGAACATCTTTCATGCAAATGATAACCCCAAGCATTTGGCAAAGTTAATTAATGATTATAAATAGAGTTGGTCAACGTTTTTCAGCAGAACAGTTTAGTTTCGGAAAATGCAGTTTAACTGAAATCAAAACATTTTGTGGAAACCTCCATTTTGGTGAAATTGGTAACAGGAAAAAAAATCAAAACAAGGCATTTCTACTTTCTTGTTTCTCTTTGATAATGCCACAGTGTTTTGTTTCAACTTTGTTTCAATTCATTCATTTTCTCCTTGTATGGTATTTGTGTGTTAAATTATCAGGGCCGGCTCTGGCTTTTTTGCCGCCCCAGGCAAAAAAGCCTCCGGCCGCCCCCCACCCCCTGCAGGGGGGGGGGCGGCCAGAGCCTCGGGGGGAGGGCGGCGAGCCCCGGGGGGAGGGCGGCAAGCCCCGGCGGGGGCTCCGCTCTCCCCCCAGCGGCCGG